CCATCCCTGCACCGAGATCTTCCACATGCACTCAAGAGTGTGACCACACACCCAACACCCTGTACTCGACTCACATCCATCCCTGCACCGAGATCTTCCACATGCACTCAAGAGTGTGACCACACACCCAACACCCTGTACTCAACTCACATCCATCCCTGCACCGAGATCTTCCACATGCACTCAAGAGTGTGACCACACACCCAACACCGCCACGGCTACAGCTGAAGCAACTGCTCGCCTCTTCTTCGACCGCATCATCACCATCCACGGCATCCCCGCTACACTCATCTCAGACAGAGACCAAAAATTCACCAGTAAGTTCTAAAAGGAGCTTGCTGGGCCATGGGTTTGTTGGGGACAAAGCTTGCAATGTCTTCAGCATACCACCCCCAGACTGACGGACAGACAGAGCGACTCAATCAGGTGGTTGAGCAGTTACTGCGCAAAGACGACGTCAGCCACTGGGATTCACAGTTACCGATACCTGAGTTCGCTTACAACAACGCGTCACATGCGGCCACAGGGAAATCTCCTTTCTTCCTGTGCTATGGACGGGAACCACTTACACCAGAGCAGCCAACCACACCGGCACACGTCCAAGCCGCACATGACTTCGTCACCACCATGCAGCAGCTATGGGAGAAGACTCACCGACGTCTTTCCACGATGCTGAACTCCCAGAAGCAGTATGCCGATCGCCAGCGACGTGATCACACCGTAGCAGTCGGAGATCAGGTGCTTCTCGAGACGCACAACTTGAACCTGTCTCACCTACTATCCAAGCTCCGGCCTCGCTTCTGTGGTCCTTTTCGCGTTGAGGCACAGGTGACACCAGTAACATTCCGCTTGCGCTTACCTATTACTTGGAAGCTTCATAACGCTTTCCATGTTTAGCTGCTGAAGCCCTACAAGGACCCCAACCAACAGTTCATGGGACGACAGCTACCGCCACCACCACCTGTTCTCGTACAGGATGAACCAGAGTACGAGGTGGAACGAGTTCTCGCTCATCGACGTAGACGTGGCAACACGCTCGAGTTCTTGATACGCTGGAAGGGATATGACCCGTCGGATGACAGTTGGGTTGCAGAAGCTGATATGGGCAACGCACGCCGTGCTCTCAAGAACTATCTTGTCAAGCAGGGTGTTTCTCACGCCACCCAGCTTTGAGGGGGGGACGTGTGAGAGTACGACGGCTTATGCTGGCTTTGCTAGCTTGCCTGGACTTTATTACGCATTATCTAGCTTAGCTTTATTTTGCTTTGCTTGCTTTTGCTTGATTTCCTAGGTTCGTTGCTTTTACTATAGTTATTATAGTTATAGCACCGAACTAGGTTGAGTGCACCGAATTCTAGGCTTTTCGATTGCCACCGAATTGCCTTCTACCGAATTCGGGAAGGACCCGTTCGGGACGCTTCGCGACCCGCGGAACTTTCTAGTAACACCCGGGTTACTGCCTTTGTGTCGAGCCTATATATAGCCTTGTCTTGTACCCAGGTGAATCATTCAATAGAATCAACTTTCCTGAACCAGATCCTCACACTGGGGTTGCTGAGTCTGAGGGTGCGGAGCCTGGGGGTGCTGAGCTTGGGGGTGCTGAGCCTAAGCGTGCTGAGCCTGGAGGTACTTTGTCTGCTGGAGGTTCTCCGGGTGCCTCGTCACGGCGGGAGTCTCGCTCTCCACCGCAGCTGCGCGAGTGGTTTGCTCGGCTCTGGAGCCTTCGGAGTGGCACTGCTGGAGCTGGAGGGCCTGCCGCTGGAGGCCCTGGTGCTGGAGGCACTGGAGCTGCTGGTCCCGGAGGTGCTCGTACTGGAGGTACTGGAGCTGCTGGAGCCGGTGGTACTGCAGGCACTGGAGCTGGAGACCCTGGAGCTGGAGGCGCTGGAGCTGGAGGTACCGGAGGTGCTGGAGCTGCTGGCCCTGGAGGTGCTGGAGGTATTGGAGGTTCTCCGGGTGCCTCGTCCCGGCGGGAGCCTCTCTCTCCACCGCAGTTGCGCGAGTGGTTTGCTCGGCGCTGGAGTCTTCATAGTGGAGCTGCTGGAGCTGGGGGGCCTGCCTCTGGAGGCCCTGGAGCTGGAGGCCCTAGAGCTGCTGGTCCCGGAGGTGCTCGTACTGGAGGTACTGGAGCTGCTGGAGCTGGTGGTGCTGCAGGTACTGGAGCTACTAGAGCTGGAGCTGCTCGAGGCGCTGGAGCTGGAGCTGCTGGAGGTGCTGGAGCCGCTGGTCCCGGAGGTGCTCGTACTGCAGGTACTGGAGCTACTGGAGCTGGAGGTGCTACAGGCGTTGGAGCTGGAGCTGCTGGAGGTGCTGGAGCCGCTGGTCCCGGAGGTGCTCGTACTGGAGGTACTGGAGCTGCTGGAGCTGGAGGCGCTGCAGGCGTTGGAGCTGGAGACGCTGGAGCTGGAGCTGCTGGAGGTGCTGGAGCCGCTGGTCCCGGAGGTGCTCGTCCTGGAGGTACTGGAGCTGCTGGAGCTGGTGGTGCTGCAGGCGTTGGAGCTGGAGACCCTGGAGCTGGAGACCCTGGAGCTGGGGGTACTGGTGCTCTCGGTGCTGGTTCTGGAGACACTGTGCGGCCGCGACCGTACTTCGTTCCACTGCTTCAGCAGGTTCTTAGTCTCCCGCCTTCTACTGGCCCTACTCCTCCCTTACTGTGTCCACCGCCTGACCAGTCGCAGTAGCAGTTACAGCCAGCCTCCCCACTGCCTGCTCCTTCTCCTTACACAGGGCCGACAGGAGGTCTTGCGGAGCATCGTGGGCCTGAGTCTCGTCCTGCGTCGCCTGTTCGCGCTGTTCGCACTGGTCGTCGTGTTCCACGTCCGCGTCCTCCTCCTGTCCCAGGCACGCACCAGATGGCACTTCGTCCTTCCTCTGTTCCACAGCGTGTCCCTCTGCCGTCTCCTCCTGCGTCCTCTCTTCCTGACGTTGCTGACCCGCCGTCAGACCTTGCTCGTGCTGCCAGTCCTACTATCACACGTCTTCTAGCCACTGTTGTCACTGACCCTTCGTTTGAGTCCACTGCTGCGTCTACTCTAGTTGCTGAGCTTGTTGAGTTTGCTGCCGCCTGTCGCCTCGACTACACCGCTAGTCTTGTTGCTGGGTCTGAGTCTGTCTGTCCTCGATCCGTCGGGGGTGAGTGTGTTCTTGGCACGGACGTCCTTGAGGACAGGCAGGAGGACTTTGAGTGTTTTGCAGCTGCTCTCCCTCATCTCGTGTCCATGCTGCTTGCACCTGAGGGAGACCCGGATGCACCAGACATCCCGACCCCGCGCTCTTACGCAGAGGCGATTGAGGGTCCCTACTCCTCTCAGTGGCAGACAGTCATGGACGCAGAGATGGCTTCCTGGAAGTCCACAGGCACCTACGTCGACGAGGTTCCCCCACCTGGGGCGAACATAGTCGATGGCATGTGGATTTTCAGGGTGAAGCGGCCGCCGGGTTCTCCGCCTGCCTTCAAGGCGCGTTACGTTGCTCGAGGCTTCAGTCAGCGACAGGGAGTTGACTTCTTCCAGACCTTCTCCCCTACCTCGAAGATGACCACTCTTCGGGTGCTGCTGCACGTTGCCGCTCAGCGTGACTACGAGCTTAACTCTCTTGACTTCAGCACAGCCTTCTTACAGGGCACTCTGCACGAGGAGATCTGGCTGCGCCGCCCACCTGGCTTCACTGGGTCGTTTCCTGCAGGTACCCAGTGGAGCCTCCGGCGGCCAGTCTACGGTCTCCGCTAGGCGCCTCGCGAGTGGCACGACACACTGAGGACGACGCTTGCGGCTCTTGGGTTTGCTCCTTCGACTGCTGACCCGTCGCTGTTTCTACGCACCGACACTTCTCTGCCGCCGTTCTACATCCTCGTGTATGTCGACGACTTGGTCTTTGCCACTGCTGACACTGCCGGACTGGCCTTTGTGAAGTCGGAGCCGCAGAAGAGACACACGTGCACAGACCTGGGTGAGCTACGCAGCTATCTTGGCTTGCAGATCACCCGGGACAGAGCACAGCGCACCATTACCCTGACTCAGTCACACATGGTGCAACAGGTCCTTCAGCGTTTCCGCTTCACGTACTCCTCGCCACAGTCCACTCCTCTGCCTACCGGTCACTCGCTCTCAGCTCTGCCTTCGGATGAGTCCGTAGAGCCGAGTGGCCCGTATCCAGAGCTTGTGGCATGCCTCATGTACCTGATGACCTGCACTCGACCTGACCTTGCCTTCCCTCTTAGCATCCTGGCACGCTATGTTGCTCATGGGAGACACCGACCAGAGCACATGGAGGCCGCTAAGAGGGTGTTGCGCTACTTGTGCAGTACGTCGGGCATGGGGCTCGTGCTTGGAGGACGGGCTCGAGTTGTCCTCACTGGCCACGCAGACGCTTCTTGGGTTGACGACTTGGCTACGCAGCGGTCGTCACAGGGTTACACTTTCAGCCTTGGCTCCGGCTCTGTTTCGTGGCGGTCTACCCGATCGTCTTCTGTTCTCAGTTCCAGTTGTGAGGCTGAGATCTACGCAGGGGCCATGGCTGCACAGGAGTTACGCTGGCTCACCTACCTGCTGACTGACTTGGGAGAGCAGCCTCGTTTTCCGCCAGTTCTGTACGTCGACAACAAGGCCATGATTGCCTTCTGTCAGGAGCACAGACTGGAGCACAGAACGAAGCACATCGCTCTGCGCTACTTCCTTGCTCGAGAGCTGCAGCAGCGTGGTCAGCTTCGTCTTGCTTACGTGGCCTCTCGGGCCAACACTGCTGATATCTTCACCGAGATCTTCCACATGCACTCAAGAGTGTGACCACACACCCAACACCCTGTACTCAACTCACATCCATCCCTGCACCGAGATCTTCCACATGCACTCAAGAGTGTGACCACACACCCAACACCCTGTACTCGACTCACATCCATCCCTGCACCGAGATCTTCCACATGCACTCAAGAGTGTGACCACACACCCAACACCCTGTACTCAACTCACATCCATCCCTGCACCGAGATCTTCCACATGCACTCAAGAGTGTGACCACACACACAGCACAGCACCCTTCAACCCACTCACGTGTATCACTGCACGAACACACGGTAGGCGGGCAGCAGCACAAGCAACACGGGAGCAGATCACTCCTGGTAGGAGCGGCAGGCAACTCACGCACTGCGAGCGATGCAGCTCCTCAAACGTGGCGTTGAACACTCGAAACCTGCAGAGCGGAGGCACTCAGGAAAATCAGAGGATTGCCAGTCGAGCACACGACGCTCATTAACGCGGCGCATTTCAAGAGGGAAATGCTAAAAAGAAAAAGAAGAAGAAGAAAAAAAACGTCTGAAACCCCATCGGCCCTGCATCTGCTCTTCCCTGCCACACCCCTCCATCCTCACCTCTTTTCCCTTGCACCTCCCTTCCCTCCTTGCACCTCTCTTCTCCCCTTCCCCCTCACACTTATCTACCCCCTCCACCCCCACCCTCGCAGCCCTCTCCCTTCCCTCCCCCTCCTCCTCACACATCTCGTCCTCCCTTCCGCCTCTCCCCTTCCGCCTCCCAAGCACCCTCTCTCCTCCGTTCCTGCCCTCCCGTTTCGCACCTCTCTTTGAGGGCGCTGCGGCACACACTGCCCTCCTTCCTCCTCCCTTTCCCCTTTTCCCCACCACTCTCCCCCACCTGCTCCCCTCCCCCCTCTGCCCCCCCTTTTCGCACGTCTCTGTGGGAACGCTGCGACTCACACTGCCCTCCTTGCACCTCCCTTTCCCCTTTCCCACCTCCATCTCCCCGCTCACCCCCCTCTCTTCCTCCCCCCAACCTCCTTCGCACCTCTCTTTGAGAGCGCTGCGGCTCACGCTGCCTTCCTTGCACCTCCCTTTCCTCTTTCCCCACTTCGCTCATTCCCCAATCTTTCCCCCCACTCCCCTCCCCTCTTCTCCCCCTCCCCACACCCCTCCCCCCAACCTCTCTTTGAGAGCGCTGCGACTCACACTGCCCTCCTTGCCATCCACTGACAGCCCCACCACTCCACGCACATCTCTTGTCACCCTTCCACTCCCCAAGAACTCCCTCCCACTCCCCACACCCCCCCCCACCCCCCCCATCCCCCCATCCCCGCACCTCTCTTTGAGAGCGCTGCGGCTCACACTGCCCTCCTTGCCGTCTGCATTCAGCCCTGCTGACGTCAGCAGCCCGAAAATCTGGCGACCAGCGAAGAGAGAGGCGAAGGATGGGGAAGGGAGGGGAGTGGGGGAAGGATAGAAGGAGTGGGGCAAGGGAGAGAAAGAGTCGGACGAGGGAGAGCAAGAGTGGGGCAAGGGAGAGGGAGTGGGGCAAGGGAGCGAAAGGAAGGGCAGTGTGGTGACTAAGGTAGGGCAGCCAGAGGTGATGAGCCAGGGTCCGAGGTAAGGTTGGTGGGAGAGAGGTGAGTGGTGCCAGGGAGAAGTTCTGGCGGGCAGGCAGTACTGTGGACTGAAAACTGGTGGGCGGCAAAGAGAGTGGCAGAATGGGGGCGGGAGGGGACTTCTGAGTTAACTCAGAAGTCAACTAAAGAGAAAGTTCTGGGCGGCATTACCGAGGACAGAAAAGTGGTGAACGGCAACAAGAGCGGCAGAATAGGGGCGGGAGAGGAGTGGGCACTGATTGTTACAAAGAGAGCACGCAGAGCATGTGGGAGGGGCGATTGGGAAGAGGACTGGGCCGGTTTAATGGAGAGGTGTGCAGTAGGTTGGTGTGGAGATAGGATGTGTTGGGCAGGGGAAGTGGGGGAGAAGGTACTGTGCACAACGCATCATGCATCATCCACCATGCACTGTCGTCCATGCACCATGCACAAATCACCATTATGCATCATTCACCATGCACAGGGGAAGTGGGGGAAAAGGGACCGCGCAATGCACCATGCGCTGCCCCCCATCCACCATAAAAATGCATCATACACCGTCGTCCATTCACCACGCACCAGTATGCTTATGAAAACAAGCTTTCTAACCAGTATGCTTCATTCACCATGCCCAGGGGAAGGGAAGTGGGGGAGAAGGCACCATGAACCATGCAGCATGCATCATTCAATATCACCATGCACCAACTACCATGCACCAAATACCATGCACCAATTACCATGCACCAAACATGATTCACCACACACCATCATTATTCACCAAGCACGATTCGTGATGCATGCATATCTGCTCAAAACAACCCCCCCCCCCCCTTCTTCCTTTTCCACCCCTTCCCTCCCACCCCTTCCCATTCCATGAATTGTCCCATTGCATACTGCTGCACTACATGCATTAACGCTGCTCACCCCCCCTCCCCCCTCTTTTCCCCCTTTTTGCTCAGACACAAGCACCCACCTTGTTCCATGACGTGCGTTGGTACGCCGCGGCATGTTGCTGCACGATGCGCCGCTGCCGGTCGATCCAGTCCTTCCCCACCACCTCCTTCAGCTCGCCCCTGTGCAACAGGACAAGTGGAGAAAGAAAGAAAGAAAGAAAGAAAAAAAACCACAGATCATGCACTTAAGTTCTCACATGCGTCCTGATGCTGCTTCGGTCGCTGGACGTTTGACCAGTCAGTAACAAAAATTCGGGTCAGTCAGCCAGAAAACGTACAAAAACATGTGCCACAAAATCGCGGTTTCCAATTTCGACGCAACTGCTTCACTCGGCTCTTGACCGTGATGACATGGCGGACGGCATCAGGCCAGAACTTGTAGGGCATCCCAGCAGCCCACAACATGGTCTTAGCCGCCTCGCCAATGGTCCGGTTGGCATGCCTTTCTGTTGCGGTGTTTCAGGGAAGGTCAGTTGGAGTCGGATGCCATTCTTCTTAAGGAACTTGGTGAAATATGCTTCAAGAAACCCCCCCACCACGATCACTCCTCAGCACTTTCACGAACCGCATCGACTGCCGCTCCACCATTGGTAACCAATCCTCCTTGATCGCCACTGCGGATCGCTCTTCTTGGACAAATGATGTACCCATGTGAACCGGCTCCATTCGTGACTCGTCCACCATGGTGAGGAGCACAGTGCTCTCCAAGTCTCCTCAGTTCGCATAGGACCCACTAGGTCCATGTGCACTCCGCACGTAAAAACGGAAACCGCGCGGACTTGTTTGCATGCACGCCTCCAAACTGACTCGGCCCGACAGCCCGAACACATCATATCGGACTGGCTCCGCCCAAAAGCGGGCCGGACTGGGTCTGGGCCACACCCGCCCGCATCCTGACTTTAGCTCAGCTCTATGGTGGAGGGCTAGCGCTAAACTAAGCAGCGTGCGTTGGCGCCAACGGAAGCTGCCCAGGCATTCTCTCTCTAACCTCAAACCCTTACTTTCTCACGGCGTACACGATGTAATGCATGCTGTTCATGAGGAAGAGCTGTGTGAGCACTGTGTGCACCCTACTAGAGCCACTACCCTTCCCGCTGTCCCTCAACCCATCAACCACTCACTTTCTCACAGCATGCACGATGTAGCGCACGTTGTTCATGAGGAAGAGCTGGGTCAGCGCAGGGTCGCGGTAGAGCTTGCTCTTCCTCTCCAGGTTGGCATGCAGCGCCGCAAAGATGCGGATCGTGGCCTCTCCGAAGAGGTTCTCCCGGCCGAAGAGCTCCTGCATGGTCGCCTGGTAGCTGAGGGGGGGGGACGGGTGTGGGGAAGAAGGGGAGGGGGAGGGGTTAGGGAGAGATGGGGGAGGGGAAGATGCGGATTGTGGCATCCTCGAAGAGGTTTGTTGAAGACACATAGGTAGTGAGCCCCTTGTGGCCCTTCTTTGAGGCGCAGTACTTAAGATAACCAGCTACGCAAGCATAGAGGTATTTGAAGCAGCTTCACAACGTAGCTCGTGCGTGGCGCGGTGCGACTAAACATTTCGTAGGCGTTAGAATAAGAAGGCACAAATAAAATGAAAACAAAAAAGGCACGCACCCCTGCATGCCCTCGTTTGGGTCGCCTCAATTATTTGTGAGTGCTAGAACGAAGAAAAAGAAGAAGAAGAAGAAGAAGAGAAAAAAAAAAAAAAAAAAAAAAAAAAAAAAAAAAACGCGCACTCGTAAAGGTATTTGAGGTAGTTGACGACGTAGCTGGTGAGGCCGTGCGTGGCCCCATCGGGCAGCACCTTGTCGCTGTCCTCACTCTCCACTGCGAGCTCAAAGTTGTTGAACGCCTCCTTGGCCGCCGCCGCCAGGTGCTGCAGCAGCTGCTGCGCACTACCCCGGATGGCATCACAGGCCGAGCCCGCAAACACCACCTCCACCTGCAGAAGGAAGAGGTAAAGATATGAGAGATGATAAGGGTGTTCCGTCGATGCAAGGTGCTGCAGCAGCTGCTGCGCACTGCCCCGGATGGTAGACATGAGCACTTTTCCAAACCCCAAACACGTTCGGGTCAAACATGGTCGACCCGTTCTTTTTGTAAAAAAGGTTCGCCCGAACATGTTCGGTGTTCCAAAAGTTTTAAGGGAAAATTCCCGAACACCAAACATGTTCGGGAAGATTCCCAGTTTTTCCGAACATTAGATGTTCGAAAAAAACCAGCGCGCCATTTGTCGCGCTGGTTGGATGTAAGTTCTACGCAAAGCCTAGATCGAGGTCATTTCGACCTCAATCTACCTTTTTAGGTTAAGGGCGCGTAACCATTTTGTCCCTGAGGGTTCGTTTATTGGACTACTATTGACTACTATATCGAAATAGTGGTTATTAATATCGCTAGTGTTCGGATTACTTTCGCGCATAACCCTGCGACGTCGCATTCGCAACATAACTGTGTGGAACGTTTTGGGGAAAATGGTGGGAACCGAGCACCCGAACGGTTACGGTTCGTCAGAATCGGACGGGTCGAAAATAGCGGCTTGTGGTTAGTGCGCGAATACTCGCTGACATTGCGGCAACAAACGAAACTAGAGTAACTTACATTCTTCCCCCGTGTTCCCCACCCCCTAAACATGTATGGGCAGGTGTTGTTGTACTTAATTGCATGAAACTGGGGTGGTGAAATCTGTTAAGTCACAGAATCGGTGGTGAAATCTGTTAAGTCACAGAATCTGCTAAGTCCTTATTTTCGAACACCAAACATGTTAGGAATTGGCCGAACATGTAGATGTTCGGCGAACAGTAAACATTTTCGCCCACACTAACCAAACACCAAACACACCAAACATGCAAAATGTGAAAATAATGTTCGGGCAAACCGAACATGTTCGGTTCGCCCAATTAAACTGTTCGGGGACGTTCGGGCGAACACGTTTGGTGTTCGCCCGTTGCTCATGTCTACCGGATGGCATCACAGGCTGAGCCCGCAAACACCACCTCCACCTGCAGAAGGAAGAGGTAAAAATATGAGAGATGATAAGGGTGTTCTGTCGGTGCAAGGTGCTGCAGCAGCTGCTGCGCACTGCCCCGGATGGCATCACAGGCTGAGCCCGCAAACACCACCTCTACCTGGAACATTGGGGTTTGAAAGGGGAGGAAGGGGGAAGGGATTGGGAGATGGTAGGGGTGCTGAGTTGCTGCCAGGTGCTGCTGCGCACTGCCCTGGATGGCATCACAGGCTGAGCCTGCAAACACCACTTCTACCTGTGAGCGATGAGGAGAGAGGGTGAGGGGGGTGGGCAGGCAAATACTTTTGATACTTGGACTACCGCTCCGGATGGCATCACACTTCTGGCCCGCAAATACCACCTCCACCTGTGGACCCGCACCAACCTACTCAGTCACTACCACCGAATCTCACCTGTGGCATGAGGTCGTGCCGTGCATGGTCTCGTATTATATGTCCCTGTGCATGCCTAATCATGCCCTAAGCTGCGGCATCAGGTCTCGAATGGTCTCGTACATGTACAGTCCATGAGCACCGACACCTTAAAAACCTTGATCAAACCTCACTCAAACCCCACTCAAACCTCACTCAAGCCCCACTCAAACCTCACTCAAGCCCCACTCAAACCTCACTCAAATCTCACTCAAACCTTCGTGGTATATTGTCCCTCATGCCTACTCAGCACTGTCCAGTTCGCTAACCAACTGGGCTAAAAGGGCATGTTTGCATAGCGGGTGAGCGCGCCCACGCCTCCCAAGCGCCGAGCTTGTAGCCCTTCCGGCCAAAGCAGAGGCCAATCCCAGTGTCCTTTTCCACACTCCCCTCACTGGGAGCGGCCTCACCCAGAGGAGGGAAAGTTCGCTCTCACTCCACTGAAAGCGACGACAACGGGATTCGAAACTTGGCCCCCCCGGACAACGGACCCAGTTCACTAACCAACTGGGTCAAAGGGCATGTTTGCATAGCAGGTGAGCGCGCCCAAGCCTCCCAAGCACTCAGCTTGTAGCCCTTTCGACGCCAGACCAGAGGCCAATCCCAGTGTCCTTTCCACAAGCACCGCATCTCACCTGTGGCATCATCAGGTCCCGTGTGGTCTTGTACATGTCCGTCCATCAGCACAGATACCTTGCACTCACTCACCGCCCGCCCATGGTAACCCCGCCTCATCTGCGGCATGAAAACAAGGCCCTCACCTGCGGCATGAAAACAAGACCCTCACCTGCGGCATGAAAACAAGACCCTCATCTGCGGCATGAAAACAAGACCCTCACCTGCAGCATGAAAACAAGACCCTCACCTGCGGCATGATTCCGAATGGTCTCTGTTGACGGGAAATGGCCCTGCCCTCGCTGGGGCAAAGCCGACTTCGCAGTCGGGTGCGCGGGAGGTGCAGCCGGCTGCTGTCAGTGGTCAACGCCAACTTGGGAGAGGAAGTCGACAGACTTGGTCGAATTCCGTGGCACCACTGTGAAGCTCGTCGACAGGCGGGCGCCGACTTGTTGGCGACGCCGGGGACATTACCTGGTCGACAGTGTTACCTGGTCGACGAAGTTCTGCGGGGGTGTGCGAACGTCGTTCATGAGGTTTTGGCGAAGCCGATCTTCGGGCTGGTATCCCGAGGTCGACGTCGCACATCTGGCGCAACCGTCGCCACGTGGCCGACTTGGCACCTGCGCGATGTGCGTGGCGGTGCACGACGTGCCCAACTGTCTATGAGCACCTGTGAAGTAGGTGCGCGCACATGCGGTTACAGTCACTCACCTGCGGGTCCAACGCTGCCAAGCCGCCTTGCTGCCGCGTTGGCAAGCCGCTTTCGAGATGCGTTGGCACGTCGTCGACCTGCTGCGTTGGCAGGCCGACCCCGTGCTGCGCTGGAGGTCGACCTGCCTGCTTGCTAGGTTGGTAGGCCTCTGATCTAATCATTGTTGCCATTGTTTTTTGCATCATTGTTCTCAACTTTTGCTAGTGCAACTCTTGCCAGTTTGCCCCGTGAATGCGCACGTATAGAGCTATGTTGGCAGATACGCGTTTCGCGTATGATACGCTAGCGTACGATGCGCTAGGGTATATACGCCATACGCCATGGCTACCGTACTGCAGATACGCTAATATACGCTAAACCATCCCGTTCCGCCCTCGAACTGTAGGGAGTGGAGGTCACGATGGCGAGGAAGTACTAAAGCTAGGACAGTTCGAGCTCGACGAGAGTTGGACGAAATGCAAGAAGAGAAATGCGGGATTGAATGAAAGACGAGCGGTTTAGGGATTGAGGAGATGTTGAACAAGTGAAAGGGGGGAGGTTGGGTTTGGGAGGCTGAAAGGGGTGGCGTATGGTTGGGGATGTGGGAGGGGTTGGATTTTAATTTTCGAATTGCATACATGGGTTGGGTGCTGTGCGAGGTCGAGGGTTCAACTCTCGCCGTCGCAAATTCTCGCAATTTTTTGTTCCGTTTTTTTTTTTTTTTTTTGTTATGGGCTGCCCCGGCGTGTTTTAGCGATTTCCAGGCGTATTTGCGTATTTTGTACATACGCTAGCGTATATACGCAATACGACCACCCCCCAAGGGCGTATCTGCCAACATAGGTAGAGAGAACACGAGCAAACGCTACGATCACTCGTACCACCTGTGTCTTCCGCCTTAGTTCAGCTCTTAATGTAGAGTGCTTCTCCGCAGTCTCTCTAGCAAGAGATCTCGCAAGGACTTGTATATGTCCATCAACACCGACACCTTCTCGCGGAACTACCGACCCGTCCCTCATGCCTAACTAGCACTCCAGAGTCTCATCTCATGTAACCAAACACTTACCTGCAATATGAGGTCCCGTATCGCATCTCACTTGCGGCATCAGACCGTCACTTGCGGCATCAGACACTCTCACTTGAGGCATGAGGTTGTGCATGGTCTCATACATGCCCGTCAGCACCGACACCTTCTCGGGGGACTTCTTGCATCATGCCACGGGCACCCACCATACCCCACCCATCCCATAATAACCCATTCCTCACCTGTGGCATGAGATCCCGCATGGTCTCGTACATGTCCATGAGCACCGACACCTTCTCGGGGGACTTCTTGCTGCGCGCCACGGCCTCCCCGAAGCCAAACAGCATGCCCAGCGTGAGCCCCGCCAGGTCCGCAAACGCCTTGCCTGTGTGCGGCTCTAAGCCCGCCAGGACCGTTTCGCACAGCTCTCGCTCTGCCATGAACACCACGTGCACCTGGGAGAGGGATGGGGGAGGGAGAGGTGGGTGGGGGGGGGTTGAGTTACAGGCAGACAGGGGTGCAGTGCACTGGTGGTGGGATGGCTGTGTGGCCTGTGCTAGTGCCACGGCCTCCCCAAAGCCAAACAGCATGCCCAGCGTGAGCCCCGCCAGGTCCGCAAATGCCTTCCCCGTGTGCGGCTCTAAGCCCGCCAGCACTGTTTCGCACAGCTCTCGCTATGCCATGAACACCACGTGCACCTGGGGGTGGAGTGGGTTTTAGTGAGATACAAGGAGGTAGTTTGTGGGTTGTGAGGGGTGGAGTGTTTCGCACCGCTCCCTCTCCGCCATGAACACCACGTGCACCGAGAGAAAGGAGATCCGGTGGGGAAAAGGGTGTGGTTGTTGAGAGGTGTGCAGTCAGGTGGTGATGGGTAGTGGGGGTGACAGAGCTCCAATCCCGCAAGGACCGTTTCGCACCGCTCCCTCTCTGCCATGAACACCACGTGCACCTGGGGGGGGGGGGGCGTTGGGAAGGGAGGGGGAGGGGGGGGAGTGGTGGGATGCCAGGGGAGGCAGCTCCCTCTCCGCCATGAAGACCACGGGGTGATGGGTGGGAGGGGGTAGAGAACGGGGAGGCGGTGAGTCTGCCATACGCCACAGAAGCTGCCCTGCCTCTGCTCTCTCGCCGACACCCACCTGTTCTGACTCACCGCCAGCCAGCCGAGTCTGCCGTCGCCACCCCTCGATGCGCTTCTCCAGCTACCTCCACGTCATGGGATCCTTTTGCTCTGTCACGTTGGTCCATAACTCTTTCATTCACTGCTCTGTCCGACTTACCGCCAGCCTGGTCTGCCGTCGCCACCCTTCGATACGCTTCTCCAGCTCCCCCCAGGACATGCCGTCCATCTGCTCGCGTGTGAGCTTCTCCACGGCAATGCGCTTCAGCCCCGCCTCCACCATCGTGCCTCGCACCTCGCTGATAAGGTGAAGGTGAGTTGTGTGTGAATGGGAAAGTATGAGGGAGAGAGAGGAGAGTGTGAGGAAGAATGAGATTCTCTTTTCCACGGCAATGCGCTTCAGCCCCGCCTCCACCATCGTCCCTCGCACCTCGCTGTGTGAGTGTGGGTGTGTGTGTGAGTGGGAGAGGAGGGGAGAGAGTGAATGCGCTCCTCCACCTGCCAGCCAAGAATGGGAATGGGAGTTTGCCGGTTTGCCTCGAAATACGCCACGCCCTCGTGCAGCCGGGCTATCGCTGCTAGGTAGGGGTCCAGAGCGTTTTTGGGACCCTCTTTAATGCGCTCCTCCACCTGCCAGCGCAAAGTGAGAGGAACAAGGGGGAAAAGGGCTTGTGATGATTGATTGCACACTGCGCTGCTGAGCTGAAGGCTCCAAGCGCGCCACGCCACGCCCTCAGCAGCAGCGCCTTGGAGTGGGCCAGAGCCGCCTCCGCGCTCTTGAACGACCGGTTGGCCTCAAAGCACGCCACGCCCTCGTGCAGCCGGGCTATCGCTGCTAGGTAGGGGTCCAGGGCGTTCTTGGGACCCTCCTTGATGCGCTCCTCCACCTGCCAGCGTGAGAGCGCGGGGAGATTGGGGGAGACGGGAACGTAGTGTGAGGGCATACGTGGAGCCTCAAAATACGCCACGCCCTCCGTAAGTACGGGTCCAGGGCGTTCTTGGGACCCTCCTTGATGCGCTCCTCCACCTGCCATGTGGGGGAAACGAGAGGGGAAATGGGAGAAGGGAATACGGAGACCAGCTGCTGCAGATTTTGCCTGAAAGTACGCCACGCCCTCGTGCAGTGCAGCCACGCTATGGCTGCCAGGTATGGCGCTATGGATCCAGTGCAGCCGCACTCTTGGGTTGGGGCCTCCTTGATGCGCTCGTCCACCTGCCAGCAAAGAGTGCGGATGGGAGTATAAAGTCGGCTCACAAAACGAGCGGTTTGCCTCAAAGTACCCAAGCCATCGTGCGGACGCACTGTGGAGGCCGTACCCTGTGGAGGCCGTACCCTGTGGAGGCCGTACCCTGTGGAGGCCGTACCCTGCAAAGTTAGTGTGGTTGTACTCACCACGTTGAGTGCACAATTGTCATTGTATTGTATGTCAATCGCGACCTTGACGAATGAGACCCTTTTGGGGCTGGCATAGTTTGCGGTTACCGCAATCACTCCAATCCAATGGTCATCAATGGCGGTGTGTCATCCCCGTACCCACACATTCCTGGTTGCCTAACTCCAACCAACCTTTGCAGATTTATTCTTTCACCCCCCCTCAGTACTCTCCTCCTGCTATCCTCCTATCCATCCTTCATTCCTAGGTCATTTTAAACCCGCCTTGCTACGTCATCTCACCTGCCTCGCCACGTCATCTCACCTGCCTCGCCATGTCAGCTCACCTGCCTCGCCACGTCATACTTCTCCAGCACCACCTCAGCAGCCTTGAGCGCCTTGTCCACGTTGACGTGCGCCTTGCGGATGGCGTAGGTGCGCTCCTGTCATGTGAGTGGGGGGAAGGAAGGGGAGGAGAGGGAAGGGGAAAGGTCGTCAGGCCGTATTCATCTGGACATGCGCCCTGCGGATGGTGTAGGTACGCTCCTGCCAGGTCAGGCCGAAGGGGTAGAGGGAGAGGGAAAGGTCAGTCGGGGCATATTCACATAAGCGTGGGCCTTGCGTATGGCATAGGTGCGCTCCTGCTGGGTTAGGCGGAGTTGGGAATGGGGGAGGGAGAGGGAGGTTGAAACGGGGCAAGGAAGAAAGGAAGGAAGGTAGGCCGGCCCAGTCCGGGCGTATTCACGTGCGCCTTGTCGATGATGTAGGTGCACTCCTGCCAGGTCAGGCCGAGCTAGGAGTTGGAGTTGAAACGGGGCAAGGAAGAAAGGCCGGTCCCGGGCGTATTCACGTGCGCGAGCGCCTTGTCGATGATGTAGGTGCACTCCTGCCAGGTCAGGCGTAGGTGCACTCCTGCCAGGTCAGGCGTAGGTGCACTCCTGCCAGGTCAGGCGTAGGTGCACTCCTGCCAGGTCAGGCGTAGGTGCACTCCTGCCAGGTCAGGCGTAGGTGCACTCCTGCCAGGTCAGCAAGGTTAAAAAAAACGACCGTTTTTTTGAAAATTTACCGTAAAAAACGGTATCGTAAAATACGGTCGTAAAAAACGGTTGAAAACGGTTCCAGGAGGTGTTTCCTGTTTAACTAACAAAACGGCCACTTAGTGAGACCAAATTGAACCCGAAATGCAGCAGCATGAAGGGGACGGACCCCTTCTTGCATGTATGAGCTTGTTGGCATGCTTGAAAATGTTTTTGGCCTTGTTTTTCTCTTTTTTTTCTTGGTGAACAGCGTTCTCTAACAAAAAAACGACCGTTTTTTTGAGAAATCACCGTAAAAAACGACCGTATAAAGCGGACCGTATTTTACGAAAACCGTAATTTTGAACCTTGCAGGTCAGGCGTAGGTGCACTCCTGCCAGGTCAGGCGTAGGTGCACTCCTGCCAGGTCAGGCCGAGTTGGAAATGGGGAAGGGAGTGGGAAAAGGGAGAGAGCATATTTGTGTGAGCGTGCACCTTGCAGATGGCGTGGGTGCGCTCCTGCCAGGTCAGCACGCGCGCTGGGAACGGCATATGAAAGGCCATATTTCATGCGGGCATGCGCCTTGCTGCAGATGGCGTAGGTGTGGTGTGGTGTGGTGTGGTCTGGTCTGGTGCTGCCAGGTCAGGCAGCGGTGGGAGGGCATATGCGGGCATATGAGAGGCCATGATTCTTGCAGCCATGCGCCTTGCTGCATATGGCGTGTGGTGTGGTGTGGTGTAATGTGGTGCTGCCAGGTCAGACTGCGGTGGGAGGACATAGGCGGGCATATGAGAGGCCATGATTCTTGCGGGCATGCGCCTTGCTGCATATGGCGTGTGGTGTGGTGTGGTGTAATGTGGTGCTGCCAAGTCAGACTGCGGTGGGAGGGCATAGGCAGGCATAAGAGAGGCCATGATTCTTGTGGGCATGCGCCTTGCTGCAGTGCAGATGGCGCAGGTCAGGCCGCGGTGGGAGGGCATAGGCGGGCATAAGAGAGGCCATGATTCTTGTGGGCATGCGCCGTGCTGCAGATGGCGTAGGTCAGGCCGCGGTGGGAGGGGGAATGGAGGCAAGGGCAGTCATGAGCATGCACGCGCGACGAGAGTGGGGAAAGGAGAACGGGAGGAGGGAAGAGAGTGGGGAAGAAGAATGGAGTAAGGAGAGTGGGGGGGGGGGGGGGGGGGGGAGAGAATGGGTAAGAAGAGTGGGGTAAGGAGAGTGGGGGGAAGAGAGTGGGGGAGGAGTGTGGGGGAGGTGGAAGTGGGAGGGAGAGGGACGTGGGACAAGGGAGACCATATGGGGAGGGAATCTTGCGGAGATCAGGGGAGGCGGAGCGGCGCAGTAAGTCGCACGAAGCGCAGCTTCATTCATGTGCCGGGCGATATGGGGAGGGACGGGCGCGCCGCGGACCGCGCTCTCGACCAATCGGACGCGAGGAACGGCCACGACGGAGCGGCTTCAGCCACGGTCTGCGCGAGCGGAGCGGAGAGGAGCGGTCTGCACAGCCCTATTCTCAACCGTTCGTGTCGCCGCCTTCATCTCGCTCGTCGCCGTTCGTTGGCTCGCTTCCTACTAGGTCAATGCGTCGCACATGTCGCATGCCTCACCTGCGTCGGTCGCATGGCCGTGTCTAAGGCCGAGAGCCGCTGGTCGAACGACCCTAGGATGTCCGCCAGGCGATCATTGTTGCTCTGCGACTGCGCCAACGCGTCGCGCAAAGCCTGCGCGTGCGACGCTAAGTCGCACGCCACTTCCGCGACCATGGCGACGTTTGCGACCTCTCAAATGACGACGTCACTTCTCCGTCTTCTTCGCTAATCTTCCTACAGTTCAAGTCGTAAACGAACTTACGCTCTGTTCTATCCCCAAAAGCTGCTAGACGAAATCTAGAGTCAGGTTGTACTACAACCTGTTTTTTCGCGGTCTCTATTTTGAACTGCAACCGTTAGGTTAGGAGGTTTGGCTCGGGTGCGAGCGTGACCCGAGGCTGTTCTGACTTGCTTTGCGTGCACGTCAGGTTCTGGTCTGGTTGCGTGACCCAAGGCTGTGTTGCCTTGTTTCGTCGGCCCGACCAGTCTGTCGGACCAGAGGAATCGCTATGGCGGGGACCCCTCCCGGTTCTACAGTTCTGCGACATGGAGCCGCACTTCGCCCCGTTACCAGATACTGTTTGCCGCGAAACCTATTTCTTACGCGGAATTGTTTTCGTCACCGTGCACCCGCTAGTCAGCGTCGTGCCCTGACGACAGGGTGTGTGAATGACGAAATATGTATACGGGTTACTTTTGCGAAATTATATGTACAGTATTTGTACTTTCGAGACCCGCCCTAAGCCAGCCAGTCTCTTGGTTTACTCGCATGCCAACCCTGAAATACGCGAAGTATTTCAATGTCGTCGTACAGTGTCTGGGATGAGATACGCCATAGCGTTTTAGGAATATTAGGCGTGGGAAATCTAGAATTCAGTAATTGTTGATTCTTGCGACGCCGCAAACGTGGCCGACGCGGCCCCGTGCGACACATTGGCACAGTCGCAGAGCAGCAATGATCGCCTAGGATCGTTCGACCAGCACCGGCTCGCGGCTATGCGACCGTCCCAGGTGAGGTGTGCGACATGGACGATCCAATGCACAGTGATGCGACGCGAGCAATCGGAAGGCGCCCGCCGCCTCAGCCACCTTGGTCGGTTCGGAAGGAGCACTGCACGCCTATGGTCTTGATTTCACGTAGAGCAGCGTAGCGAGCCAAAGCATTAACACAGCAGAGCAGAGCAGAGAAACCGAGCCGAGCCGCCGAGCCGAACCACGCCGCGTCGCGTCGCGCCGCTCTGTCGAGCCGAGCCGAGCCATGCAGAGCCGAACCGAGCCGAGCCGCGCCGAGCCGAGCCGCGCCGAGCCGAACCGAGCCAAGCGGACCACCGCGAAGTCAGAGACGCAGCGGCAGAGACCTTTCAAACCTATTTTTAGACCTGCAGGCTTCACAAAAGAGGCTACCCTTTGTCTTAGCCGCGTCACATGCCAGTGTTGTGGCCTCTCGCCCCTTGCATCCCCGCCTGCGTGTTGTTCTTGCGCTTGATCGCATGATTATGCACTTTCCCTTGCATCCCGCACTCCCCCTCACATCCCGCACTCCCACTCACATCCCGCACTCCCCCTTACATCCCGCACCCCCCATCACATCCCGCTCTCTTCCTTACATCCCGCACTCCCCCTCACATCCCGCACTCCCATCCCGCACTCCCCCTCACATCCCGCACTCTCCCTCACGTTTCGCACTCACCCTCCCCTACTCCTTTCTATCTCCCTCCTCCTGCCACTCCCTTCTCTCACCCTCCCTCTTTTCTTGTCAACCTGACTTGGCAGGAGCCACATAAGCCATCGACAAGCATCACGCTCACATGAACATGTCTCCCTTTCATCCCCCACTCGTTTCTCTCGCTCTCTCCACTCCCTTCTCTCGCCCTGCCCTGCTTTCCCCACTTCCCTCTCTCAATCTCCCTCACTCCCTTCTCTCGCCCTCCTTCCCCTACTCCCCTCCCTAGCCCTCCTCCCACCGCTCAGTATCCCCACTCTCCTTCTCCCATGCCCGCCTCAAGATGACCTGGCAGGAGGAGCACTTCCTTTCATCTCGCGTTCCCCCTCCCCCACTCCCTTTCCTGGCACTCTCTCTCCCCACTCACCTTCCCCCACTCCCCTTCCCCCACTCACCTTCCCCCACTCTCCTTCCCCCACTCTCCTTCCCCCACTCTCCTTCCCCCACTCTCCTTCCCCCACTCTCCTTCCCCCACTCTCCTTCCCCCACGCCCACCTCATAACGACCTGGCAAGAGCGGCATGTACACCGTCTCCCCCCCCCTCCCTTCCAGCACGCCCTCTCCCTCCCCCAATCCTTCTCCCACCTTTGTTGTGGCCTGACCTGATCCGGCAGGAACGCACCTATGCCATTCCACAAGGCACACGCTCACTATACTCAGTGACATGATTTCAGCCTCTCCCTTTCCCTCTCGTTCTCCTTTTCGCTCTCCAATTCCCCATCGCTCTCTCTTCCCCCCTCGTTGTCCCCGTCCCCCTCACTGTCCTTTTTCCCCACTCCCACCACTGCATGACCTGCCAGGAGCGTACCTACCCCATCTGCAAGCCACACACGCGCACATGAGAATGCGCTCACTGACCTTTCCACACCCTCTCCCTCCCTCTCTCCCACCTCTGTATGACCTGCCAGGAGCGTACCTACCCCATTCGCAAGGCACACTGTCTGCTTGCTTCAATACTCTCTCCCCTCTTGACTTCTTCCCCCCACCTCCCCCCTCTCGAATTCTGTACCTGCGACATTCTCATGGCACACAGGCGCACATGAGTGTGCCCTGACTGACCTTTCTCTCTTTCCCTGTTTCACCCTCCGCCTCCCTCCCCCTCCCTCCCCCTCTCTCCCCCTCCCTCCCCCACCCTCGCCCTCCCTCCCCCTCCCTCCCCCCAACTCCCTCTCCCTCTCCCTCCCCCTTCTTCGCATGTCATTGTGAGAGAAGCCGCTCAAGGCTGCTCATCTGGTGCTGGAGAAGTATGAAGTGGCGATGCAGGTGAGGTGACGTGGCAAGGCAGGTGAGAAGACGTGGCAAGGCAGGTGAGGTGACGTGGCAAGGCAGGTGAGATGACGTGGCAAGGCAGGTGAGATGACGTGGCAATGCAGGTGAGGTGACGTGGCAAGGTAGGTGAGGTGACGTGGCAAGGCAGGTGAGATGACGTGGCAAGGCAGGTGAGATGACGTGGCAAGGCAGGTGAGGTGACGTGGCAAGCGGGTCTGAATCAAGGCTTGGTAGGAGGGGAGACGAGTTGGATAAATAGTACGAGGAGGGGAGGGGAGGGGCTGGAGGAGGGTGAAAGAATACTGTTGCAATGCAAGTGTGCTTGGCCATCCTGCACTAACGTGGAGTAAGTATGTTGCGAGGAGAAGGCCATTCGAGTCACAAAGATAGTTGGAACAATAGAAAGAGTTTCGGCAAACAGATTGCTGGAGCTGACACATCCCACGTGGCAGATAGAGTTGCGTATCAAGGAGGGCTCCAGGGATAGCGGTTTAGCCGGTTCCTGCTCGAGGCCGACCGACCTACAGCCGTACCTGGCAGCCATAGCACAGTTGCAGGAGGGCGTTCTTGAGAATTCTCAATGCAACCTGCAACAAGACGGTTCCTGCTCGAGGCCGACCGACCTACAGCCGTGCCTAGCAGCCGTAGCACAGCTGCAGGAGGGCATGGTGGGGAAGAGGCAGATTGGCCTTGACCTTACTCATTTCTGTACCTCCGTGCCTTTCCCGTGTAACAGTTGCAGGCGTGCATCAAAGAAGGTCCCAACCCAAGGCCGACCTAGAACCTTACCTAGCAGCTATAGCTCAGCTGGAAGAGAATGCGGGGTGTTCTGAGGCGAAAGGGGCAAGTATTCCCCATGCAGACCCTTACACGCCCTTTTCCCCTCTCTCTCCCCTTACTCCTTGCTCGCAGTTGGAGGCGCGCATCAAAGAAGGTCCCAAGGCCGATCTAGAGCCTTACTTAGCAGCTATAGCACAGCTGGAAGAGAGCGTGCGGTGCTCTGAGGTGCTCCAACCGGTGAAGGGCGCCTGGCAGTTGGCTCTGTCTCACTTGCAGGCGCTGCTGAAGGAGGCCCATCACCGCCTCAATGCTGCTTTCAAGCAGAAGCTGCAGCAGTTCACGTGAGTGGGAGGGGGGGGAGATGGTTGGGGGGGGGAGAGGGGAGAGTGTGAAGGCGGGGGAAGGAAGATGCAAAGAGTGCTACTGAGGGAGGCTCACCGGCGCCTGGCTGCTGCTTTCAATCAGCAGCAGCAGCAGTTCACGTGAGTGGGAAGGCGCGAGGGGGGAGGGAGGGGGAGAGGGCGATGCGATGGAAGGGGCCAGGGAGTGAGTGGGGGAGCGTAGAGGGCGACGAGACAGAGAAGCGGGCCTGAGTGAGAGGCGCGAAAATTCTGAAGGTGTGAGGAAAAAGCGGTCGTTGAAGGGTGTGGATGATTTTTGAGAATTCGCAAAGGCCGTTGTAAGGGCGCGGAGTTGCTCTGGCTGACTCCCAGGGGCTGCTGAGGGAAGCCACCGCTGCCTGGACGATGCTCTTCGGCAGCAGCTGTTGCATTTCACGTGAGCAAAGAGAATGGGAAGGGGGGATGTCGGGGAGAGGTATGAGGGAGCAAAGAAGAGTAAGAGGCAGTTGCTGCTGCAGTTGGTGAGAGCGAGAAGAGAGGGGAGGAATGGAGAGTTGTGGAAGGGAGGGGGAGGAGTGCAGGAAAGTGGAGGAAAGTGGGGAAAACGGAGTTGGTAATTTTACTTTCATATTTTCTCGGTCGTGCCATTCAAGCCAGGATCTTCATCCTATTGTCCAACTTAACTTCCTATCCAATCCAGCCTCTCCCTCCTCCATGCCCTGCCTTTGAGTCAACCCAAAAGCATTTTATTCAGTCGTGCCATCCGAGCCTACATCTTCACCATTTATTCCAACTTAACTTCCTATCCACTTTTTGAGGCGCCTAAAGAAAACAAGCCTGCTGCTTGCATCTTCACCCTATAGTCCCGCTTCACTCCCCATCCAATCCAAACTCTCCCTCTCCCATGCCGTTCTTCTCCCCCAACCCCTCCTCTCCCCCCACTTAACAAGGAACCCAAATCAGCCAAGCTGTGGGAAGCAGGGCGAGGAGGAGGAGGAGGAGGAGGAGGAGGAGGAGGAGGAGGAGGAGGAGGAGGAGGAGGAGGAGGAGGAGGAGGAGGAGGAGGAGGAGGAAGAGGAGGAGGCGTGCGTGCGGGAGACAAACCCTCCTTCCTCTTCTAATCAGCCCTCACGCACTCCATATCCCCCCCCTCCTCCCCCGCCCCACACAGCAAGGCTGCGGAACCGGCAAAGCTAGAATAAGCGATGAAGCAGGCCGAGACGGAGTTGATTTTTGAGTGGACTCAAAGGGCATTCCATGTCCCCTTCTCCTCTTTCGCCCAACACAGCAAGGCTGCAGACCCAGCAAAGCTAGCAAAAGTGATGAAGAAGGCCGAGGAGGAGGGCAGGACGCTGCCGGTGCTGCTGGCGAATAGAAAGGCGGGCGAGCGCATCCGCCAGCTGGCAGAGGCGCTCATTCGGATTGGCCGGGCCGATAAATGCCTGAAGATATACACGTGAGTGGATGCTTGCTTGCTTGCAATGCAATGCAATGCAGTGTTGCTTGATTGCCCGCATGCATGATGCATCCGCCAGCTGGCAGACGTGCTCATTTGTTTTGGCAGACGTCCCCATTTTTAAGCTTATGCCATTATATGTACATATGCACCTATGTTGAAATGGGAAACGAGCATGTATGATGTGTACATATGCACCTATCTTGAAATGGGAAACGAGCATGTATGATGTGTACATATGCACCTATCTTGAAATGGGAAACGAGCATGTATGGTGTGTACATATGAGTGTGTTGCAGTGGAAAAGCTGACAACAACACACACACATAGCCTACGCATGCGCAAAGACACTCACCTACTCACATTCTCCCCTCCAAGCGGCAAGGTCCACGGTGCGATGGTGCTGGCGGGGTTGAGGTGCATTGGGATGGAGGAGTTCATGCGCGAGCAGATGCGTGTCACTCACTCGCTTGCTCGCTCGCTCGCTCACTCACTCACTCACTTGCTCGCTCGCTCACTCACTCACTCTCTCCCCTCCAAGCAGCAATATGCGCGGCGCCGCGGTGAAGGCGGGGTTTAAGCGCATGGGGATGGAAGAGCTCACGCGCGAGCAGATGGACTGCATGGTTTGGACGGATCTGGAGACGCGCGTTGACGGGTGGAAGACGCAGATCAGCATGGCGGTGAGTCAGAGCAGACCAAATGTTATTTTACCTTCCAACCGACCATGAGTGAAGATGATCCGCAGGACTTTGGAATGATCTGAAGACGCGCGTTGAGTGGTGAGTAGGCCAGTGGGGGGAAGCCAATCTGCACGTGCGGTGAGTCAGAGCAGATTGTTGAGTCAAGTAAAAGGCATTGGGTAACAAAGTGATTGTGTTCTGAGTCGACTCAAAAACGCTTCACTGGGTGAAGAAGTGATTGTGTTCTGAGTCGACTCAAAACATGACTCATTGGGAAACAAAGTGATTGCTTAGTACAAAAAGTTCACTCGAAAGTCACTTCACTCGCAAGCAGATGGACGGCATGGTTTTGAAAGTATCTGAAGATGTGCGTTGAAGGGTGGAAGAAGCAAGTCAGCCAGGTGCTGACAGATCATGGGAGAGAGGCCACCTGTAGAAAGTGAAATTTTTAGACGTCTAAAAAATTCACAATTTACACGTGGCAAATCAGCCAGGTGTGAGAGAGAGTTGAGGCTACGGGGGTAAGTCTTGCTTTTTGTGTGGCGCTTTGTGTTGCGGCGTGCAACGTGCCAAGGAGTAGAGGCAGGTGGGTTGGGTTTCGTTTCCTGCCAGGGACCTAGCCCTCTTATCTCTTGCCTCGCTCCATTTCCATTTCAAGCTGCCCAACTGAAATTGCAAAAGTGGGATCATCAACTGATTCCCCTCCTCCTCCTCCTCCGCTGCACTGCCCTCCCCTCCCACCTCTCCCCCTCCCCCAACCTCATTCCCCCCAGCCTCATTCCCCCCAGCCAGGTGCACGTGGTGTTCAGGGCGGAGAGGGAGCTGTGTGAAACGGTCTTGGCAGGGTTGGAGCCACACACAAATACTCTATCAACACTATACCCACTCTGACGCCCCACCACCCCCACCCCCCTCCATTGCTTCTCCGTTCTCTAACCCCCCCTCCCTTTCACCCCCAGATGCACGTGGTGTTCATGGCGGAGAGGGAGCTGTGCGAAACACTCCACCCCTCACAACCCGCCCACTTCCTCCTTGTATCCCACTGCACCTCACTGCCCATAGGTGGATGTGGTTTTCAAGGCGGAGAGGCAGCTGTGTGAGACGGTTCTAGCAGGGTTGGAGCCGCACACAGGCAAGGCGTTTGCGGACCTTGCGGGGCTCACGTTGGGCATGCTGTTTGGTTTCGGGGAGGTGGTGGCGCGCCAAAGAATGCCGGTGAATCAGGCCAAGAAGCTGATGGATATGTTCGAAACACTGTTGAAGATGTATGAGACCATGCAGAAGCTCATGCCACAGGTGAGATGTGACGCCAAGGCAACACAAGAAGTGGCGCACCGGTGAACAAGGCCAAAGGGCTGATGGACATGTTCAAGCATACATATCCAGCAGTTGAGACCACGTGGACCATGTAAACGCTCATGCCGCAGGTGAGATGACGTGTGAAGCGAGCTCATGTGGTACTTGATGTGAGATACGAACTCATGTGATGATTGAGTTGGAATGTAAATTCAAGAAGCGACAACTCATATGGGAAGTGAGATGCGAACAACGTGAGAAGTAGTGTGGCATTATATGGTAGTCGAGGTGCGACCACATGTAGGATAGGATCCACAAAAATGTTTTTTGAATCATTTTGACTCAAAAGATTGGTCCTTGAGCATGTCCCACGCCTTGGGTCCACGCTCTTCCTTCTGAAGTAGATGCATAATATGCTGACGTTGGGTGAGGTTCAGGCTCTGAGAAAATGTATAATATCCGGCTGATGAGTGTTCGTCCCAAACACCCTGGAAACTTCGGGTTGATTGATATGGCGTTTCTCACTACCAATTATAACCTTGAAAAGTCATATCTGTCCAATATACAGTTACACCTTCCATGACCAGCCGTCGTATCCTTCACCACTAAATTTGTCAATTGAGCACCTCCCTTGGAAGTGGACCCTGGGTCATCCGGGCCATCCTAGGGGCGGAGACATCCTGGCTACTACCACTGGGGTTGAACTCCCTTCTTTTCCCGACGACCCCATCATTCGATACATTGAAAACTACTAAGTACCAGCTCTGATACCACGTGTCAACTGCTGTAGACTATTCAGAAATGATTAATAGCTTAACTGCAAACTAAAAGTAGCACTAATTCTGCTTGAAGCGTTCCGAGTGTGACAGATGGTCACCCCCTAGCCAAGGCATAAAAATTACTAGGGAGTAGTTGTGGCTTGCTTAGCTTGTAGAATGAGTGCACTGGCTGAATAGTGTTTTGGCAACACCATAATAACGTTTCTAGTCACGTCAATGTTGATTGGAGTTGACCCCGCAATCGCTTGGGCGAAGCCGACTTCGTGGTCGGTTGCGCGGGAGGTGCAGCCGACCATCCGCAGTGGTTGACGCTAGCCTGAGCGAGTAGGTTGATGAAGGTGGTTGATCTACGGGGTACCACTGTGACGCCGTCGACGACGGGAAGCCGACGGACGACTTCGATGGAGGTGGTCGACGAATGAGTTCGTCGACCTGCGCGGGACCATCGGGAAGCCGTCAATGTTGGGAGGTCGACGGCGGTTCTCGACTCGGTGGTCAACGAAGGGGTTTTGTCAACCAGCGAGGACGCCGACTTGGTCAAGTCAGCGGGTGGCGTCAACCTGGCGGGCTCCTACCGCCCAAGTCGATGCCGATTTGGTGGTTTCCCCGTCGACCAAGGACTCGGGGCGATGAGGTTCTGTCACATAATCTATGGTAAGAACAATACATTCAGTCACGTGCTTGTTTGGTAGACGAATTGAAGGTACTGTAGAGAGAGTTATTAGAGGTTGGGTTCATGGGAGTGACGCGAAGCTGGGGGACTCAGGGACCAGCGAGGCATGAGGAAGAAGAGTGCAAGGAACATTCAGGCCCTGGGTAATCTGGATGAGCAATCCGGAGGTTCAGTGACTGGCACTTGAGGTAGTCTTGTTAACGGGAATGGAGTGTTGGCCCCGCCCTCGCTTGGGCGACGCCGATGTCCTGGTCGGGTGCACGGGAGTAGCAGCCGACTGTTCGCAGTGAGGGGGCTACTCGACGGGCTTCGTCGAGCTGCAGGGATCACTATGGTGTTGCCGTCGACCAGGGGTGCTCGACGGTTGCAGCTGACTGGGCTGGTTGACGGGTGGGCCGTCGACCAGGAGGAGCAGTTCGACGGGAAGGTCGACGGAGCAGTCCGTCGACCTGACATTGAGCGGCAGTCGTCGAGGGGAGCTCGGCGACAGCAGCCGACAGTGCTGGTCGACGGACTCCATCGACCAGAGTGTTGCTCGACGGGAGCTGTGGTCGACGATGGAGTCGTCGTCCGGAGCACTGGGTGGTTGACGAGCACGTACAACTTCTGTCGACTTTCCCCGAACAAGTCGACACCGACCTGGTGGTGTCCAAGTCGATCAGGTAACCTGCTCGGCGAGTTCTGCGGAGGCTCGCGAACGTCGTCGAAGACGGAGTGACGAAGGTGACTTCAGGCTGGTATCCCGAAGTCCATGTGGCTCGGCAGGCGCAGACAACAGCCGACGGATACACAACAGTGCAAGTCGGGCCAATCGGCTGCGCGCACCTGCGAGCGTTGGCACAGGTGCAACACTGGACAGCCGCACTGCTGCAGTGTTGGCACGCCGTCGACCTGCAGTGTCGGCAGGTCGCCTTTCTGCAGTGCTGGCGCGGCTCCTCTATGCAACGCTGGCAGGCGATCGACCAAGCTGTGCTGGCAGCCGACCAGGCTAGCTGTAAAGTTGCTAGGTGCCTGATGTAGTCATTGTTGTCATTGTTTGTTCAATCATTCTGTAATGCAATGTTTGCCTAGTCAAACTCTTGCCGATTTCTCCCGTGAATGTGCAAGCACTAAGGAACTAAGCAAAGCTATGATCCCTCCTAGTAGTTCGCGCCAACCTCCCCCCCCCCCGTAGTCTAGCTCACTACGTTGTAAAGTGACTCTCCGCAAATCTTCTGGAAATTGGGCGACACGGGCTAGGATTTCAAATAGTCTAAGAATGCACAACACAACTCGTTCTCTCGTTTGTTTGCTCGCTATAGTGGATACATGTTACTGATTGACGACTAACTCCAGCCTAGGTGACGAGGCCACTGTGAACAGCCATTTGTGGGAGCGGGAATCTCTCTGGTAGTGGTTGAGTACGAAGAAGGGAACCAGTGAGTTGGGACAAGACGGAGGCAAGGATGAGACGAAGAAAGCAGCAGTAGTGAAAGGACAAGAGCAGGTAACACAAGATTTTCCGACTTCTGCAGCGTTGGCGCTCCGTCGAGTTGCAGTGCTGGCAGAACGTCGACTTTGTTGCGCTGGCGGTCGACCTTCCTGTCTGCTAGGTTCCTAGGCTCTGATGTGGTTAATGTTGCCTTTGCCATTGCTATCATTGTTCAACAATTCGATTGAACTTTTGTTAGTGAGAAACTCTTGCAATTCTCTTTAGGAATGTGTGCGTAGAGAGAACACGAGCAAACACTACGATCACTCGTATCACCCGTGCCTTCCCCATAGTCTAGCTCCCACCAGTTTAGAGTGACTCTTCGCAGTCAATACCTAGTAGTAAAATTCAAGCTCTGGAAAAGCGCACAAGCATTGTTGTGTCTCGATAAGTACAAGCATATTCATATAAATTCCACGCACAAGCAAATGCAAACATAAAACAGTTGTAAAACCGACTTATGGGATTTCGCCATGCTGGCTTTGAAAACGAGTGTACAACTTTTGGAGAATTTGTCATGGTTTTCCACGTCTTGATAAAAACCGTCTTTTAATTTCGTTTCAAACTTTCGGTTTTGCTGACTCCAATGTGAACACTCATGATTTCCCATGTGGATCGAATGTGGCTCTCATGAGATTCATGCGAGCTTACACTTTATAAAACAAGCATTATCTATACTTGTTATGTATTTATTTCGCAAAGCAACGTGACTTTCTCTTGAAAATTTCTGTTCGCTGGGTCAATGCGGGATACAGTTTTCCAAATGTAATCACGAGCACCCCTCGTGCCACACATCACTATCGATATATTTCCCGGTGGTGCTGTACGGTGCGATTGCGATAGCGATCGTGCGCTGTACAACATAGGACAACGAGATCATGTCGTTCCGTCCTGTTGTGGTCGTGCACACTGTGCACGGTCGCAACAGTGCGACACAAGCGTGTTCCTTGTGGGGTCATACGCGCGTGTCAGCAGTATGCTAGGTGACAGGATTAGTGGAACAGAAGAAGCGGCAGAAACGTGAGTGGAAGGGGACACATGTAAATTCATCAGCGTGAAGAGGAAAGGTTTGGTTTGGTAGAGGAAATTCGGTATGATGCGGTTGGGGGTGGTGGACTGGTTGGGATGAATCGCGGCAATTCACATTTTAATTCGAGTTAGTTTCTGCTAACATTTTCTTAGGGAGATTTCGGCACCCATTAGGGATAGTTTTTCCCCCTTCCCTTTTGCAAGGAAAACCGCCAATCCGCACGGTTCTGCGGGAAAGATCGCCGATCTGCGAGGATCTGCGGGGAAATTCGCGGAACCGCGTGGATGGCGAGCCTGAAGTACATCTCGGGGGGGGTTTCAACCTGCCCGGTTTTTTTAACCTGCCCGAAAAATCGTATCCCTGGATTGGGGCCCTTAGCGTATAGTGTATATACGTATGCGTATGTGCGACACGCGTATATACGCTATACGCGTATATGCCACCATAGATTATTACCCCCCTCTCTCACCCTCAATGCGTACAGGTGGAGGTGGTGTTTGCGGGCCCGGCATGTGATGCCATACGGGGCAGCGCGCAGCAGCTGCTGCAGCGACTAGCAACGGCCTCTAAGGAGGCATTTAACAACTTTGAGTTGGCAGTGGCGAGCGATGAGAATTACAGCATGCCGCGCGATGGCACCAGGCATGCGCTCACCAGCCACGTGGTGAACAACTTCAACTATCTCAATGACGGGTGAATCGTTGACTTGTGATGTGTCGTTGACTTCTGAAGCTTGGCTTGCCTGTGCGTTGGACGGGAGGGGATAACTTCACTTCACCACAGCATAGCACGCCGCGGGCGGGATGGCACGGGGCGTGCGCTCACCAGCCACATCGCTAACAACTTTAACCATTTCTGTTACAAGTGCATCGTTAGGCTTTGATGTGCCATTGACTGATACATTGTTGGCTGTGTGCGCTCACCAGCTATGTCGTTAACAACTTCAACTATCTCAGTGATGAGTGCGTCGTTGGCTCTTGATGCGTCGTTGAGTCCTTATGCATCGTTGACTGTGCGTCGCTGGCTGGGTGTCGTTGGCTTTGATGTGTGGCTAACTATAGTCCCCTTCACTCGTTCCCTTTACCCACCCCCTTTGCTGGTCCCCTTAACGCGTCCCCTTCACTCGTTCCCTTTACCCACCCCCTTTACTGGTCCCCTTAACGCGTCTCTTTTACTCGTTCCCTTTACCCACCCCCTTTACTGGTCCCCTTAATGCGTCCCTTTTACTCGTTCCCTTTACCCACCCCCTTTGCTGGTCCCCTTAACGCGTCCCTTTTACTCGTTCCCTTTACCCACCCCCTTTGCTGGTCCCCTTAACGCGTCCCCTTCACTCGTACCCTTTACCCACCCCCTTCACTGGTCCCCTTAATGCGTCCCCTTCACTTGTCCCCTTTACTCGTCCCTTTTGATTTTCCCCTTTACTTGTCCCCTTCACCCGCCCCCGTAACTCGTTTCGTCCCTTTCCCTTGTCCCTTTTCCTTCTCCCTTCCCTTCACTCGTCCCTCCCTTTCAGCTCCCATCCCACCATGCAGCTCCTCTTCGGCACTGGCAGCAGCATCTTCAGTGACAATATGAAGCGGGTCGTTGCGGCGCTTCACACCAACCTGGTGGAGAGGAAGAGCAAGAAGTATGACGATGACGCGCTCACGCAGTTCTTCCTCATGAACAACGCTCACTACATCGTGGAGCGCGTGATAATGTGAGGAATAGACTTGTTCATTCCGCAAGGTGTACTGTGGTGTGTCGTTTTCAGTGCACAGTTCTTCCTCATGAACAACGTGCACTACATCGTGGAGGGAAAATGGGGAAGTTGTGTGCGGGTGAGGGTGGGGAAATGGGAAGAGGGGAGGGGTTGGGATCAAGGAAAGTATTGCTCACATTACAAGAAAGCAGTACGACAACGCTCTCCCTCTCCCTCCCCCTCCCCCTCTCCCTCTCCCTCTCCCTCTCCCTCTTCCTCTCCCTCTCCTTCTCCCTCTTTTCTTCCCAGTGGCAATCTAAAGGAGGTTGTGGGGGAGGAGTGGATCTACCAACAAAAGGGCGTTGTGGAGAAACATGCCAAGGCGTACATTCGCAAGTCATGGAGAAAGGTGGGGTGCCGAGGGGTAGGTGAGGGTGGAATTATGATGCAAAAATGTAGCGCAGCAACATGCAGCAACATGCAGCAACATGTTTTGGAGCAGCATGCAGTGGCGTACCTTCGAATACGAATGCCGTGGAGCAAGGTGAGGAGGGGAGGGGTGCTGGGGAAGGAGGAAGGGAGGGGTGGGGGCATAGGACTTTTTTCTGCAATAATATAGCGCATCGTGGGTTGTATTTTAATTATTCTGTACACATAGGCAAAATTAAGAGGTGTAGCTGCTAGCTATGAAGGGATTTTGGGATTTGCCCGCTAACCACATTTGTGGTTGGATCTTTGGTATCCAACAATCATTGCCTTGCAATAATGTTGGTAAAAACCCAACCAGCAATGGTTGGACCTCCACTAGTGTTGGTTGACCCAACCACAAATACTTGGGCCTTCACTAATCATTAAAGAATCCAAGTTAAAGTATCTATGATTACCTAGGTATACCTCAGCTCAGCTCACTTGGGCTTCAATCTGTACAACAATCTTGCATTCACAAGGTTCCCCTCACAGGCACTGCGTGCATACTTCTTTTGGTAAAGAGAAGCGCCTTCGAGGCGCCTCAAAAGTCGCAATCTCCCTCTCACGGTTGCTGCATACTTCCTCTGGTAAAGTTTTTTTCATCCACTCAAAAGCCAAACCAATCCTGTTTCATGACTCTTCTTCTGGTAGAGGGCAGAACCTGCCTTTTCCTCTCCCTCCCCTACGCTCGCCAGATTCTTGAGCTTCTATCGATACAATCCTGCAACTTCCCCTTGCATGGGCACTGCATTCTTTCTGGTAAAGAGCTGCACCTTCAAGGTGCCTCAAAAGTTGCGATTCTCCCTCTCAGGACATGCCTCTTCCTCTTCTTCCGGCAGGACTGTCAATCATCAGAGAAGGGCACGGGCGGTCGTTTGAGTCGACTCAAAAGGCATCTCTTCCTCTCCCTCCTTTACGCTCGCCATATTCTTGAGCTACTGAAGCCGGCAGGGGTATCACTCAGAGGAGGGCGTGGGGGGCTTTTGATTCAACTCAAAGGGCATCTTTTCCTCTCCCTCCCTTACGCTCCAGATTCTTTAGCTGCTGAAGCCAGCAGGGGTATGAATCAGAGAAGGGCATGGGGGTCGTTTAAGTTGACTCAAAGGGCATCTCTTCCGCTCCCACCATTACGATCGCCAGATTTTTGAGCTACTGAAACCGGAAGGGCCATCAGGGGAGGGCTTGGACAGTATTGCGCGTCGCAACACTGTCAAAGAAAGGTGCGTGGGGGAGGGAAAGGAGGGGGGAGAAGTGGGGGAAGGGGGAGGTTGGGAGTGCGTAGGGAGCGGACGGGGAAAAGAGATGTGCGTGAGTGGCAGGGCTGTCAGACGAGGGCATGGAGGGCATGGAGGGCATTGAGGGCATTGAGGGCATGGAGGGCATGGAGGGCATGGAGGGCATGGAGGGCATTGAGGGCATGGAGGGCATGGAGGGCATTGAGGGCATTGAGGGCATGGAGGGCATGGAGGGCATGGAGGGCATGGAGGGCATGTAGAGGCCGCTGTGTGCTTGGTCACCTGTGTGCTTGGTCACCTGTGTGCTTGGTCACCTGTGTGCTTGGTCACCTGTGTGCTTGGTCACCTGTGTGTGCGTCTGCATGTACAGCTCCTTTGAAGCCGTTCAGGCAGAATGCCTGCATGCCTGCATGCATGCCCCAGATTTGTCGCGTTGCTGCTGCCTGCCTTGCCTACTGCACCCTCGTGCAACGATACACGTGAGCTGGGAAAGGGGTGAGGTGTATTGCACGCGGGTCGCTCCTTTGAGCAGAGATACACGTCAGTTGGCTAGAGGTTAGGTAATGTGTTGCAAATGAGTTGCCGCCAGGGTGGTTTGTTCCTCCCGTGTCACTTCCAATCCCCTCTCCCCCCATCAGCCCGCTGTTGGACAGTGGCAGGCGCCTAGGCAGCAGCAGCAGAGAGGAGGCCAGCAAGCACATTCGCTACACGGATGAAGACCTCAGGGAGCTGCTCCGGGAGTTCTTTCAGGGCAAGGAGAGCTGCAACATTCTCGTAGCCCAGCCCTCTGCTTCACAATAGGCCCACTCGTGCCCCACACATCCCCCACACATGCTCCACATGCACTGAGGTTATTGACTCGCTGTTCCGCAAGGTCCAAGGCAGGGAGAACACGCAGCAACCTCATAGCCCAGCCCTCTGCTGCAGGCTAGACCCACTTGTGCCCCACACATGCTCCCCGTCTACTGCCGTTAGTGGCTCGCTGCTGCTCAAGTTCTTCCAAGGCAGGGACAGGTGAAGGGTCCCAATAGCACAGCCCTCTGCTGCACGATAGACCCACACACGCCCCCCCCCCACATACTGCCGTTATTGACTCGCTGCTTCGCGACTTCCAAGGCAGGGACAGCGGCAACGTCCTCATAGGCCCGCCCCTGCTGCATACTAGACCCAATCGTGCATACTGTAGGTGAACGGTTACCAGCAATGTTATGGGGAGCGCTTACTGTTTCCCCCCAGATATTGGCGCACCTTATAATTGGCGCTGTGCGTGCACTTATGCAGAGATAAGCGCACCTACGATATATTCAATAATGCACTCCCCATTTTCAGAAACAGTCAGCTTCTGTTATGCTTTGAATTGTCCCATTCTCTTGTCATAAATTCTTGCTTTCAAGCGCACCCGTAATTTTCACAAATGGCATGCTGACTGGGTGTCCATACATTGATTTTGCTGACTTGTTCACCCCGTTCTTGAGCCGGATAGGTAGGAAGCTAACACGTGACATTGAAGAGTGCATCGCATAAATTGGATGGAAGGCAGGGCTAAGGCCCAGTGCTGTGATGCCACGTTACAATCGGAACCAGCGTCAGCATATTTCTGATAACTAGCCAAGCTATTGGTGCTCAGCCGTCGTACTTCCGAAATGTCTGGATAACGAGAATGTTTTTGTTTTGCGAGGGAATTTGTCCCACGTGTGTCTGTCACGTAGGGATTTCTAGCTGTATTTCAAGGCTTTGGTGGACCAGGCGTTGTGGTCGTAAATGTTTGTCGTTATGGTCGAATTCTCCTGGATTCTCTGGTGGGTACACAAACACGATTTCTAATCCTCTGGACCTCCCTGGGCGTACAGAACTGGCAGATGTTGGACGGGTGAACATAAACGCAACCACCTCCCAGTCCCAGAATGCAAGCAGAGCCTTCACTACCCTTTTTCAATGAGGAAACTGAGTGAACTAGTTATTATGCCCGACTAAAACCCCTGATTTCCCTCGAAAACACACGCATCTGCTGACGCGGCAGTACTGCCAACACACGCGCGGCGAGCAGAGGTCGAATCAGGGCTCGCCTCCTGCTTGCGTGGCTCCGACCATCCTCCCAAATCCGCGGCCTCTCCTCCCTCCAGCTTTATCCATCTGGGAGTCCCGAAGGCTAATCCGGTTTCTGCGTGCGAACTAAAGTCGAGGTAAGTTATCACATAACACTAATTCCCGTTTTTTTCCACGCCATTTCCCAAGGCCACAATTCTCTCAAGCAGAGATCAGTGTTTGCATTACACAGCAGCTTCTTCTCTCGACCTCTGCTTTTTTTCTTGATGGCCCTCTCGGCTTCCTCTCTCCGCAGTGCCGCTCTCAAGCCCTCTGCAGCACTTAGCCCGTCGCCCAACCAGCTCTCGTCAGACTTCTCTGGTCGCCGCGTCGTCGCATTTCCGAAAGCGACCGTTTCGCGCAACTCGCGCGTCGCACGTCGCGGCGTCGTGAGAATGGGGCTGACGGAGAACGGCCCGTCGGTGGCGGTGGTGGGAGTGACGGGCGCGGTGGGCCAGGAGTTTCTTCAGGTGCTTGCGCAGCGCGACTTCCCCTACAGCTCGCTCAAGATGCTCGCCAGCTATCGATCCGCCGGAAAGAAGTTCGACTTTGATGTAAGGCCCGCTTCCAGGCTCGGGAGTCTGTTTCCAGGTTTGGGGATCTGCGTCGAGGTTCGGGGATCTGCTCAGTGGTCGGGGGAAGCGCTTTGGGTACTCCGCATGCTCTTCGAGCCAAGCCCTGGATGCCAGTCATTGGATGTCAGCCTCTGGATGACAATATCTGACTGTCAGTCCTTGAATGTCATATCGTGGAGGTCAAGATTCGGGCTGGTGCTCCCATTGGAGGCGCGTCGCCACCTTTGTCGTTGAGCGATCCACCGCCGGTGGTACCAAGGTGTTGCGACCAGATTCTCTCATCTGTATCCTGCATTCGGCGTCGCTCGTGCTTCCTCTCCTTCCGGTGCCCTTGTCTCTGCGCGATCCACGGCCGCTGGTGCCGAGGGGTTGCGATCAGATCCTCTGAGGTCTGTATCCCGCATTCCCCGTCGCTTGCGCTTCCACCTCCTCGCGTTCACCTCTACTCTACCTTCGAGGCGCCTACATGTGTGTGAGGGCCTTAGTCACCGTCTCCCGTGCCGCTTCATTCCACCAATCACAGGGCCGCACGTACACGATGTAGGAGCTTGCGGAGCCGATCTTGTATCTCCGCGTTGCATCCCGCATCGGCTCACCCGTCTCCACCCCTCTCCACCGCTCCCCACACCATGGCAGGGCCGCACGTACACGGTGGAGGAGCTGACGGAGGAGAGCTTCAAGGGCGTCGACATCGCGCTCTTCAGCGCTGGCGGCTCCATCAGGTACGCCCTGCGGGTTTTCGCTCGTGCATGTAATCACCCAGCAGGTGATCACGTCATCATTCATCAGGTGATCGCCCGCACCTCTGCTGCTTCAAGGGCGTCGACATCGCTCTCTTCAGCGCTGGCGGCTACATCAGGTACGCTGCTGCGCTGCCGGCCTCCTCTCTCCCCCATCAGGCAATCTATGGTGACTTCTGCGTCGACTCAAAAGTCATCCTCACACCGAGGAGAGCTTCAAGGGCGTCACATCACGCTCTTCAGCGCTGGAGGTTCCATCAGGTACGCTGCGGCGCTGCCGCCCTGCCGCCCTTCGCTCGTGCATGTGTTTTCCAATCACTCGATCGCCATTCATGCCTCCGCGCTCTCATCTGCGCCTCACGCATCAGCTGCTGCCCATCCGACCGCGCGCGATCGCCGTTGCGTGCGATCATCCTCTGCAGTATGCGGAAATCGATGGAATACGCTGGTGACCACAACGTCTTCCCTTTCCTCGATCAACTTCGTGCGCGACCATCCTTGCATGCGATTTACGGTATTCTGAAAGCCGTGGAATACGCCCGTCGCTACAGCCTCATCCCTCTTCCCGATCACTCTCGCGCGCGGTCCCCACTCAACCCCTCATTGAAATCACCTTCCTCCTTCCCGCTTCCACCTTCCCGCTCACCCTCCCCCTTGCGCGCAGCAAGAAGTTTGGGCCGGCGGCGGTGGCGGAGGGCACGATCGTGGTGAAGCGAGCAGCACTTAGCCCGTGGCCCCCCTCAACCTCCCCCTTCCCTTCCTCCCCCTCCCCCATCCCCCCTTCCCCCACCCCCTTCTTCCGTCCGCGCAGCAAGAAGTTTGGGCCGGCGGCGGTGGCAGAGGGCACGATCGTGGTGGACAACAGCTCCGCGTTCCGCATGACGGACGGCGTGCCGCTCGTCGTTCCCGAGGTGCGCTAGTTGGCAGAGCCCGAGGTGAGCTCGTGGTGTGTCGACGGTAGCACAGCGAGTGTTATCCACGTGGTTTGATGGCAAAACACCGAGGGAAGCGCATCGATCGTGGTGAACAACAGCTCCGCGTTCCGCATGACCGACGACGTGCCGCTCGTCGTTCCCGAGGTGCGTGGATGGTGCTGGGATTGCAAAGTGATGAAGCGCAGCAGTACCATGAAGTCACGCGCGCGCGACGCACGGCGGCGCAGGACGTGCTGCTCGCGCCCGTGACGTGCTGCTCGCGCCCGTGACGTGCTGCCCGCGCCCGTGACGTTCTGCTCACGCCCGTGACGTGCTGCTCGCGCCCGTGACGTTCTGCTCGCGCCCGTGACGTGCTGCTCACGCCCGTGACGTCGTGCGCAACCACGTTATGAAGCCCGTCCAGCTGCTCACGTCGCGCCCGTGGCGTCGTGCGTGTGCGGGGACCCGTCGAGCACACCGCTCATTGCCCACGCCTCGCAACGTTATGCCGATTCAGCTGCACCATGCGCCCTCACGAGCGCGTATCTCGTCCCCCGGTTCCCTCGCTTTTCCAGGGCTCGGGAGCGGCGGACGCCACCACGCCACCACGCCAACCCAACCCCCCTCCCTCCAACTCTCCTTTGTTCCGCGTCTCCGCCCTCCGCACCCGCATTTCCGCCCTCCCCACCCGCATTTCTACCCTCCCCACCCGCCTCCCCCCCCCTCACACAGGTGAACCCCGACGCCATGGCGCACATCAAGCTGGGCGGCGGTGGCGGAAGTCACGCTCACATTCCCCCAACGCCTTCCCCCAACGCCTTTCCCCCCTTCCCCCCACGCCCTTCCCCCCCCCAGGTGAACCCCGACGCCATGGCGCACATCAAGCTGGGCGGCGGCGGCGCCATCATTGCGAACCCCAACTGCTCCACCATCATCTGCCTCGTCGCCGTCACTCCCATCCACCGCCGCGCCAAGGTGAGGCGATGGGATAGGCGTTGGTGACGGCGGGGAGAGGGGAGAAATGGTGCGAGGGGAGGAGGGGATGGGGGGAACCCCAGCTGCTACACCATCATCTGCCTCGTCGCCGTCACCCCCATCCACCGCCGCGCCAAGGTGCGGTGGCCACTCGAGGGGGGATGGTTGAAGGGGAGGTGGTGAGAGGGGAGATGAAGAAAGAGATGGGGGAGAGATGGTGAAACGGGAGAGGGGTATGGGTACTGCTGGTCGACTGTCCTTCATGCCGTGCCTCACGCAATCCCAGTGACGCCTCGAGTTTTTGAGATGTAGCAAAAATTCGCCGGCTAGTGGGGAAGACGGTGACACAGGAGACAACGCACCACTTTCCCCTCTTCTCCCCGCACTTTCCCACCGTCCCCCCTTTTTCCCCCATCTCTGCGCCCTCCAGGTGAAGCGCATGGTGGTCTCAACCTACCAGGCCGCCAATGGCGCGGGCGCGGTCCCCATGTGCTCGCACTCACCTTGGTTCC